CCTATTTGTCTATGGATCCATGCTATTAGCTTATACTGTTGTTAAAATTAGGCACAGATAAATATTGGGCTACCTACCTCAAGTGAACAATGAAGTTGCATAGCGGTCTGCGCCACGCCCTGATCAAAGTCTTCTTTCTTCACCTCCACAACGCCGATGATTATTCCTTTTAGATATAAACAGAAATCCAGTGGTCCTCGCCCATATTTTCCCTGGACGTCATGTTCTGGGTATAGTTTAACCCTCCCACCGAATAGCGACGTTGCTATCACGAGAAATGGTACTATAAACTTGCTCTTAGTGGCTTCTAACTTACCATGAATGGCTTTTTTACGGAGCTTAAGATCTTTATAGAAATGTTTTAACAACTCTTCCGCTTTTGAATCTTCAAAACTGTCGATTCCATGGAAATTAGATGGCAATTCGAATAGATCACAAACCGTTCCAAGTTTCCATTCAGAAAATGCTTTTTGTAATGTATATACTTGGACTTTAAGCGACAAAGACGAAGTCATGATACAGTATTTGAGATATTCTTGGAAATTTTTATCATTTTTAAATTCCAGTTCTTCAGAGCTTTTGTCATTCTCTCTGCTAAAACGTAACGCCAAAATATCTGCTGTCGTATCTTGCGGTAAAGGAAGGGTGTCGAGAATTTTGTGCTTTATATCATTTAGTGACGCTCTGGATAGGTCCACAATCCAAGGAAACAACTTGCAATGCTTCCCATGCGAAATTTTAATTGAAAATACTGTAAAAAATTTTCAGTATCGGATTAGGAGTGGATTATATACATTGACATATAAATCAGACATACCTTGATATACTTCTAGACTCGAAATGCTTTTAATCACTGGTGGACGTTCAATAATGATGCTAAGATGATTTTCTTTTGGAACTTCAGAGAAGTACTCGATAATTTTCTTAAATGGAACAAGCTTCATCCCTTTTAAGCGTTCTTTAATTACGGCACATTCTTGGTTTTCAAGTACTTCCAACTTTTCATTGGGTTTATCGAGCGTAATATCTACTTTCCACAACCTTAGTTCTTTTGGGTCAACTTCTGCAAACTTTTGTTGTTTTCTCGCTTTGACAGCATGTTTGAGACCATCTACGTGTTCATTCTTATTAATTTTGACCAAAAAAATGTCGTCAAGAGGGTCTTCGCCTTCAACTAAACAATTTATAGAAATAGTATCCATCATTAATTAATTTACATGTCAATCCACAGAATTCTGCGGAAAATATGTTGTGCCTCAGATTAAAACTTGCGTCAGATTTTATTGAGGCACGTGATGTTAAGCATGTGACGAGATTTATGTGAAAATTAATCAAATGATCTCAACTGCAGTATGAATCCGGAGTTGGTTTCAATGATTTCAGTGTTTTTGATTGATGATTTGATATAGCAGTAAGATTGAATTTTGCTTTACTTGTACAAGACCTAAAAACTTTATTTTCACGAATAACAAATACAATGTAAATATACTAATGAGCGTGATATACATGTCATGGACGCAGTAAATTTCACTTCGAGGTACAATTCATTTTAGCGATTACATACTTTATATCTTCCCAAGACATGTTCGAATAGTTGATACTGGAAAAGTTCTAACTTTTTCTATCATTTCCCCACCTTTATCTTTATCCTTATTGATATTACTACTAAAAAGTGCCAGAAATTTTTCGAGCTCTTTCAGTTCTCTTTCGAAGAGCTTGTGAAATATCTTTGGGGAACGTCTCACAAATAAGTTATGCATAACGATAAGCTGATACAGATAAATTTATATCCAGAACTATTCTAACACAAGTTAAAGGTAATAGCTTTGTTACGTGTACAAATTATGGAAAATTATTGCATTCACATCGCCTATATACTCCATCTGCTACTTTTTTACAGGTCTTACAATATAGATGTGAATGGTGATTGCATTCATCGCAAACTTTACAACTGTGCTTCCATCCTCTAAAGATATGCCACCTTTTGAAGTAATTTCGACCTTTTTTATTTGTAAGTATACTATGTTCTTTCATCGTTATACGTATATTAACAGAAAAAATAATATTTACATGACTATTTTTTTTATAGGTGTATTACAAACCTGTAAATAAATTATGTATAGCCTCGTAGTACAGTCATCCCCCTCTATAGTCACCTCCTCTATAGTCACAAAATCAATATAATCACATTTTTATTTTTACCAATCTTTTTTATATTATTTATACCTCTATATAGGCACAATTGCCTTATAGTCACTATCACAATTTTTTGCTAACCAATTATATAACGCCTATATAAAATTACCCTCTATAAAAGCACACAATAAATAAAACAAATCCGATAAGTTTTATTTTTTATTATTCTATTTTATTTTTTATATTATTTATAAGCATAACTTTCTAATACATCTTTAATTTTTTGTAATTTAACTGTTGCACACACGAAGTACTATATATAACTAATAATTTATCGTAACCACATAATCACGGCTTAGTGTAGTGACCGCCCGATCAACAGTTAGTAAATATAGGCTATAATCGGTTAATCGACCAGAACCGAATAAATGTCGGTTAACCGGTTGAAAAAATTCTTAATCGGTTGACCCGATACAACCGGTTGAGAATTGGTTAATCAGTTGGCAAAGTATGAAAATGACGTAAGGAGGAAGTAAATGGTCCGAAAAGTTCCGAAAAGAAACTGAATGAACATAAAGATGAGCCAAAAATTTGAGTAAAGCACCGAGAATTTCTGATGTAGTAGATAGTTAATCTGAACCGGTTGGCAATCGGTTGAATGAAATAATTCGGTTTTGTTAACTGATTAAGGAAATTTTTCTCGGTTCAAATATAGACACCACAGCTGCGTTGTAGTGCAAGTAACTTAATTTCGGCTCAATGCTGTATGAATTAGAGCTTGTTTAGTATGATCGTGGCTTAGTGACTGAAAATAATGCACTGGCCACTTGACTAATGACTTAAGTATTATATATCGATAGTATTGGTAGTTGTAAGACGCGTAATATTACATAAAGTCTGGTATTAATAAATCATTAATAGATATATGGCTCCGTAGCAGTGCAAAGACCTTAATTGCAGCTCATTGACTATGAATTAGAGTTTGCTTAGCATGATCGTGGCTCAGTGACTGAAAGCAGTGCAATGACCACTCGATCAATGGGCTTAAGCATGTATGCTGATGGGCATTGGTAGATATAAGGTTCTACGACTATATAGCAGTGCAAGAACCTTAATGAATATATAACATAGAGTCTGCTTAGTGTAAGTATATTATACTTATAGGCATTAATAGATATAAGGCTTCACGGCTGCATAGCAGTGCAAGAACCT